TAGTCCAGCTGGAATATAGGCTGGATTCTCTGACTCTGTGCTTCCTTCTCTCCTTCAGTTTCCTCTGCACTGTCTTCTTTCTCTCTCTCTGACTCTGAAATCTTCTCTTCTTCACCATTTATGCTGACATCACTTTCCTCATCTTCTCCACCTGTTGAACTTTCAGTGGGCTTCTTCACCTGTGACCCTCCTTTCTCAACTCTCCGTTTCTTCTTCCTTCTCATTCCTTGCCTTTTTTGCTAAAAAAATAACTGTCAATATTTTTAACATTCTTTTTCATTTTGGTCTGCAATGTGCAAGCATCGAGATTTTTYAAAATTAGCCCATTATTATCATWACAGCTTATTTACTTTCTTGATCTGACAAAACAAATGTAACGTGGTTTAATTGTGCCTCATTGCCATGATATTGATCAAATAAAGGTATCAGTGAAACTGCAGCCCCTACAAAGCAGACCTGAAACCTTATTTTTATGTCTAAACTTTTCATTAACTGTTACCGTGCTTATTGTAAGCAAAACTATCTATGGACATAAGCTAACACTAAGTCACTGTCGTCATACACCGTGAACGTTGGACACTAGCAAATGTTTCTTTCATTGAAAACTTAACTTTATTGTTGTGTGTTAAAACATCAGCTAGAGAAACTTACTTTAACTGCAGGAAGTTGGAAGCTCAGTGACTCCACTCTGCAGCAGACAGACTGCCTCGTCAATGTGACACATGTTCCGCCTGCGGAGCGGCAGGCAGTGTTTGGTGCAGGGCTGTAACTAAGCTTTACAGGGGCCTCACATTATATTTAAAATCACATAATTTTGGTGAATAAATATTTACTAATGGGCTTTTGGACTAACAAACAGTTAGTAATTACAAATATTTTAGAAACAAAAAAATAGGGGCCTGCTGTGGAGGCAAGGCTCTACAACAGGGGGGCAGTTGCCCCCCCTGCCCCCCTGTAGATCCGCCCCTGGTGTACAAACATAAGTTTTGGACACACCTGTTGATTTCAGATGTTTCAGTCAGACCCATTGTTACAAATGTTAAATTGAGCACTATGCTGTGCAGTCACCTGTGCAAACATTTGACATTTTGGGCTGTTCTGATTAGTTAGCTCAACGACTTCAAGCTTGGCACTGTGATAAAATGCCACATCTATCATAAGACAATAACAGTGGAGATGTGTTCTATAAAGACACAAACTGTGCTTCCCTGGAGCTCTTTTAGTTAAGTCATGATTTGACATATGCTGGGAGAARATAACCGGCCTGACTAACTGGAGTCACCTGTGGAGTTCAGTGAAGGAGGGATTAGGATGTGGGGCAATCTGGTCTATGCCGTTATCCCAGTGATGCAAAATATAGATGTTGACAAAGACATTTCAGACTTTACTTACATATTTGTGCCAACACTTTGGGTACAGGCCTTTTCTATCKCAACATGACTTTGCCTTAGTGCACAAAGCAAGACGTACAAAGACCTGACCTCAGTCCCATTGAGCAACTGTGGAATGAACTGAAACAAAGACAGGCATTCTCCTCCAACGTCAGTGCCTGAGCTCATAAATGCTGTTGAACGGGCAAAATGATTGAATGGGCAATTAAATCCCACAGAAACACTCCAAAATCTTGCAGAAAACCTTCCAAGAAAAGGTGTTATAGTGTTATAACAGCAAAAGCGAGCCAACTTGCGTGTTTGAATACAATGATGGTCATGTGTCCAAATACTTTTACCTGTCTAACATTATAATGTGTGCTATTTCTCTTCTAACTTGTATATAACATATAACTCCAGTATTTTAATCTCTCTCCCTTTCCACTTTTATATTGATTACAAGATAATATTGTGTATTTATTACTTTTACATTTTAAATTATAAATTTAAAATGGCAGATTTTAAATGTTTAGCAGATTTTTTAAACATTTACACCCCAAAGCATGTTCTCTGCATTCAACCAGTCATTTTGTTCTGAATCAGTCTTTGCATTTGTTAACTCAAATCTATAAAACAGTTCACCCTTYCAGCATCTGCACAGCTTGGAGTTTCACTTTTCATTTCCAATTCTGTTTTTTGTCATGTTTACATGTGTGTCAGAGACTGCATACATTCCCAAAACTTTCTTTGCACGTTCTCMTGCACGACGAACAAACCTCAGGTCAGTTTATGATGAGGCGTCAGCTACCACATCCCACTGGGCGTTTATGTGTTTGTTTACAGTACGATTCTGTTCTCAAATGTGCCGCAGGCAAGAAGTGTAGGCGTGGCTTTTTTGCACGTAGTGGCTAAAAACGATAAGAAAAAAAGATGGATGATAAGATGCTTTTGTTTTCAAAATGAGGGCAGGTTACATCACATGAAAGCTCTATAGATAGACTCACCACCTCGCCACCTACTTGCTTTGCACAGAATCATCAACAAGCGATCACGACGTGGACAGAATTCAAACTTCAGCCTGCATTCAGAATGCTGCTTATTAGAGCATTAATGAGTAGAATTTCGTTTAATTATTATCCAAGTGAATGAGATTTTCTTTTTTTTAATTGATCCCTGTCTTTCTGTCCTCCTCGGTCCACAGGTGGGCTGGCAGTTGCGTAACCTGGTCGGCTCGTTGAGGGCCGATAAAGGTGTTGTGTCGCTGACCCTGAAGAAGCGTCCACAGAGCACGCTCAGCTCCACCCCCGCACTGCTGAAGAACATGCGCTGGAAACCCCTGGCTCTGCAGGTGGGACCGGCGCTACCTTTTATAGACTTTATTAAAACGCCGCACTGGCCCACATTAATTCCCCGCAGCATTCCTCCTCCCGCTCGGCCGCAGACAAAGCGTGTAATTAGGTCAGGGAGCTGTGGCTCAGCGCGGGTTTGTTTGCCAGTTAAACGGACTAAGTGGGGAGAAGAAAACTAATGGCTTTCCGCCCACATTCCCACAAACCACCTGATTATGAAATTTCTCCCCTGAATTGGAATCTCTGATTGGCTTCACAAACAGGAAGAAACACAAAGAAAAGGTGTTCGTGCTTCACAACTTTTTATTTATTTATTTTACTTTTTATTTTTTGCTACATTGCTGCAAAGCATAGTCACGCTTTGTGGACACGATGACTAATTGATCCTTGGCTTTAGAAAATGACAGAATGTTTCACTGATCAACTGACAGTCATTGCCATGTGCCAGAGTCATGCTATATTAGTTGAGCTGACACAAACTCAGATAAATAATATAATAAATCATACAAGGGAAAAAACGAGTTATTTTCAATATGTCAACTTTTAAAACCTTGTTTGACCTGTTTTTTACTTAAATGCCACTTAAACAAAAGTTTGTGAGTGGTGATTTGACATTTTCCTTGGCAGCATGTTGTTAACATTTCTGTAAGTTGTAGTAATAACCAACTTTTTCTTGAGTACGCAGGTTTTTGCTCATTTTCCATCTTGTCTTTTGTATGTTAAGCTGCATAACTTCTTTTTAATTTATGGAGGAGATTCTCAGGTCCTGATTACACATTTAAAAGATACACATCATACAAAATCCACTTTTTAGCTGTTTGTTGGTTTGGATCTTAATTCTCCTCTGGCTCTGGGTCAGACTCTGGCTCCAACATGTAAGGCTGGATGGACATGTTATCTATTGTTGACATATTTTATTTAATTAGTTTAAAAAGGTTTCTCCACTGCTGTATAGTTGGAAACCCCTCTATCAAACAAGAATGAACTGCTCTGGAAGCTGTGTGTGTGTGTGTGTGTGTGTGTGTGTGTGTGTGTGTGTGTGTGTGTGTGTGTGTGTTGGCGGGGGGTTTCAGCACCTTGTTTGGATTTAAAGACACAGCCTCAAAAAGAGTTGATTTGAGATACAACACAGAAGAGAGGTGAAAGATGGGCTTTTGGAGTTACAATAAGGAATAATTCAGACCAAAGCATCACAGTTTCACTTTAAATGGACCCCAACTGAATGACTTACTGTACATGTGAAAAATGAAATGTCTCCTTTTAACGATTTGTACATCTACAACCGATAAACTTCTAGTCATTCCAATTCAAGATGGCTGTCACAGCTAAGTAATCTTAGCAAACATGAAAACTACAACTTGGTCAATTGCAAAATTTAGTAGATTAAACTATCCCCCATACATAATCTAAGAAGTACACATTGTACAAAACCACTGTCTAAAATGTTGCTGTTAGTGTTTCAGTGAATTCTACTTCCCTGCTGTTTAGGGTTCAGCTTATGTTGCCCTTTTTTCCTCAGCATAACATGTGCTTAGATTAAAATTATGTCATGAAAAGCAGCCATTATTGTTTGGGGAATGCTATTTTTAAACCCAGTGGTGGACACAGTTCCCCTAAAGCACTAAAGCACTAATAGGGGAACTAATTTCATGACTAGTGCTTCAGGGTTTTTGCTATTTTTAAAACTTATTAGTGGATTAGCACTTGCTAAATTTATAGGCTGAATTTAGAAGCACTAACTGAGGTCAATAAATGTTATTGATCAGCATTATTGTTAACAACTGAGGGTGAAAGCTGTCGCTCACTTTGTTCATATTTGTGTCACCTATCCAGTGACAATATATTGACAACGTATGAGCTCAAATAAGGCTGTGGAATGTCAATGATAAGTCTTAAGAGAGCAACATGGCAATATGTGACTCATGTTGTCTCTGAATAATTTTCCATGGGTTGACTGGGTCATTTTAGTGCTTTGGAATTAGCTTTTTGCTCAACTTTTCAGTGCGTTAGTGCTTTAGAATTAGGGGACCTAAATATATGAGTTAGTGTTTTAGGGCTAGTGGAACTAATTTTTAGACTAGTGCTGCCCACCACTGTTTAAACCCATTCATTTTCCCTCTACACATCTGCAAAAGCTACAATACATCCAAAACTCGGCTGCTCYCCTTCTCACCAACACCCGCTCCCYTGACCACATTACTCCTGTTCTGAAAAATCTTCACTGGRTCCCTGTTCAGCATCGCATACAAAACAAAATACTCCTCATCATCTACAAAGCCACCCCCCACCCCCCATATCTCACCGACCTGCTTCATCATTACTCTCCTACCCGTCATCTCTGTTCCTCTGACTCTAACCTTCTGAACCCCATCAGGACCAAACATCGTACCCTAGGGGGCCGAGCCTTTTCTGCTGCCCCGCTCCTTTGGAATGCCCTTTCTCAAAAAATCAGGAACTCTGACTCCCTACCTCTCTTCAGATCACTACTCAAAACTCTTTTATTTAACCAGGTTTTCCCATCCTGACTTTTCTCCCTCTTGGAAAGCATCTTTGAGTATCCTAAAAAGCGCTAAATAAGTTTGATGTATTATTATTATTATTATTATTATTATTATTATTATTATTATTACTATTATTATTATTATTATTATTATTTAATTTTTTTTATTCATTTTGAACTGCCCGCATATCACACTTGTCACATTTCCTTATCCTAACCCTTCAAGATGCAAAAAATGCAACAAGTTACTTACTCAGCTATGTTGCATTGGTTTTAAGCAACGTCAAATTGTACTCTAAAGACAGATGAGTAATATTTATATTTTGGATTTTCTCATTTTGAGTTCCTTCAAGAGCTTCCTCTATTGTCTCCACTTTGCTTTTTGATTTGTTTTAAGGAATATAAGAATCTTCAAGGTTGAATGAAAATACTCGAGAAACTGGAATCACAGTTTCAAAGTGTGATTCACCAGTACATGAAAGGGAAAGAAACAAAGAAGTAACTGGTTTCATTTACTCTGTTCAGTCAACCAGAAGTCCAGGCAGTGGGTCAGCCACGCCCTCAGGRACACCCACCAAGAGCTCCGCCCTCCAGGACCTCTACATCCCCCCTCCACCTGCCGAACCCTACACTCCCAGGTACTTTGTCCACTTTCCCATTAACTAAAGTGGATGTGCTGACAGCTCTGATGACTTGTGCTTGTGGGGTTGCCACAGAGATGAGACGGGAGCCTTGTCTGGAGATGAAGCGTCTCGTAACCACAGCGGCGTCAGCGCTGCCAAGCGCTCCGAGTCGCCAAACTCCTTCCTGGATCAAGAGTCTCACCGGCGGGAAGAGGAGGAGCATGTATACTGCACCACGCCCACTTACGGTTCGTGTCCATGTGCGAGAATAAGTGATGAGGGAGGTAACTGAGTTCATTTTCATTCCTCTGGACCTCTTATAAAAGCTGCTGAGAGTGGGATGATTCATTCAGCTGAAAGTGATGAAGCTTGTTTTTTGGAGGTACATGCAGAAATTTAAATAAATTATCATACATTTTTCTTAATTGAGTACAATTGTAGGATGTGAAAAGCTTAAAAAACAAACTTTTCTTTCCTTTTTTTGACTGTTTCATAAAGAAACACCATTAGTCATATGTGTTTGTTTTKATTAAGCAAACTACTGCATTTGTTCATGTATAATACAATAAATTTAACCCTAAAAATCATCCATAAAGTAGGGAGTTCGTATTATACATGGGTTATTGGTGATTAGATTTTTTATGCTTTTTAAGCTCAAACATGATGATCATATTATGCTTGAGATCGTATTATACATGAATAAATACGGTATTTTCAAAGCAAATAATGAGTTTCTCAATTTGGATTTGTAGGCAGGCTGAGGCCCATCTCCATGCCTGTGGAGTGGGTGGGCGACTACGATGACCCATCCAAGCTGAACAGGGAAAGCCGCAGAGGTGAGTGTGCGTGATGGAGAGGATCTTTTTTCTAGAGGATATTACTGTCAATGTTCCCCATTTATAGGGATATCTGTATGTGTGTGTGTGGGGGGGGGGGTGCAGATCAGTGTGCATGATTGTCTAATTCTTTCCATGATTAGCATCACAGAGGAACCAAATCTGAGCAAACGAGAGGGGGTGAAAGCAGATGGACAGCTGGTACAAAGGGCAGAGGAAATGAAAGGCAGCTCTGAAAAAAAAAGAATAGACAGAAGCAGAATGAGAAGAAGGGAGGGGTGAGACAAAACGAGAAAGGGTAAAAAAAGGAAAGACCATTCTTACTGACCTCCACCTGAATCACTCACAGTTGCCATGGTGACACTGACAGCAGCTTTTCTCGGTGTCTCACTTTCCTCTGGCCGCTGCTTAGCAACCAGGGGAGGACAAGAGTGTGGAAGAGGAGGAGGGAGGTGGAGGGAAACCTGAGTTCAGACAGAAGTTGAAAAGGTGGACAAGATGGGCAGAGCAACATCTTGAATTGATTTGTGTACACGCAAAATAAAAAAAAAAATTTAAATTAAAATTTTAAAAAAGTAACCCAAGGCAGTAGCTGTTAAAAAAGTAGTCACAAAAATCTAAATAATATGCATGTTTATGAATTATCTTTTTTCCCCAATAAATTTACTATCTTTGTTTAAGAAGCCATTCTATATTTTATTTGTTTTTCTTTTATTTTATTTTATAAAGTTTATTCA